TGGCATCCATGTCCAAGTCAAAAATCCGAATGCTACGCCTAAGCAAGCTGTGCCAGTCCGGGAGGTCGGGCGCCGGGCCAAAGCGCTGGCGGAACAGGTCGTCCAGACGACGAAAACAGCGAGGAGTGGAATGACCGATCTTACCGCAAACGAAGCCGCGGCGAGGACCGGTCTGGATGTGGTACTGACAGGGCCCGCCTCCAGAACCACCACCCGGTGCACCACCACGCGCACGACCACCACCAGCTCCAGGCCACCCAGGCGGGAGAGCACTCGCCGGCCTCGTCTGCGGCGGCTGCTGCGGCTGCTGCGGAGGCTGCTGCTGCTGCGGCTGCTGCAACGGTGGAGGCAGCGGGGCAGCTGGACCGGGCAGGGTCCCCACGTCCGCACCGGCACCGGACGACCCGCCTCCACCACTACCCCCACCCGCACCCCCGCCACCTCCGCCGCTCCCAACCTTGGGGCGGCGGCCCTTCCCCGAGCGGGACTGCACTGCAGCAGCAGTCTCAGCCACAGCGACAGAGCCGTCGGAGAAGGTACACTGAGCGGGGGCACAACCCTGAAAGATAGGGACCGGTACTGTACCGCTCGCCTGGGCTATGGAGCGGTGACGAGTCTCTATGGCAGTCAGGGTGTCAACAAAGTCGGTGAGGGTGAGAGCAGCAGGGTGGATGCTAAGGAACTGGTCGCGGGCGGCGGCAAGGCGGTCAGGGAGGCGGGTGGCAAGGAGGTAGAGGGTAGAGGTCATGGGAGGCTGGTGGACTCTAAGCTGTGCATCAGTGCAGGCAGCGCGCCAGGCCTCATCTATCGAGCGCAGGTGGGCAGCGAGGTCAGAGACAGTGGGGAAGGACGCCAGGTCAGGAAAGAGCAGGGGGAGGATCAGGCGACCCACTGAGGCAGCAGGAGGGGTAGAATAGCGCTTGATGACAGCATCGAGGTAGGCCTGGGCGGTAGTAATGGTTCTAAAGCGAGGGCGCTCAAGGGGGGGGAGGGCATTGCTAATGGCGAGCTGAGCAAGGGCATCGCGGGAAAGCCAGACAGAGCGGGCAAGGGCAGCGGCGGCAGTGGACTCGCGCTCAGCGGGCGTGGGATCAGCAGGCAGCACAGCAGGGGGGTCAGGGCAGGGGAGCATACCGTCTAGGTGTGCAGAAAGCGGGTGGCCGTCCTGCCGCTGACCAGTGAGGTGGCGGCGAAGGTCAGCCAACCACGCCTCGAACTCCAGAGGCTGACCCTCAGCATCAAAACGAAGCTCAGCAGCCATGAGGGGCAGTGGAGGACAGTGGAGTGCGGTGTAGTGCTGTGCAGTGCGGTGCAGGGCGGTGCAGTGCGGTCCAGTGCGGTGCAGTGCGATGCAGTGCGGTGCAGTGCGGTTCAGTGCGGTGCAGTGCGGTCAGTGCGGTTCAGTGAGGTGCAATGCGGTGCAAGGCGGGGCAGGAAAGTGCAGGAGGGTGCAAAGTGGTGCGGGGAACGGGGGACAGTACCAGGAAGTATGGAGGGCCGGGGCAGGCGCGACGGGGCCGGGCAGGCGCGACGAGGGGCCGAGCGGCTGCGACGGGGCCGGGCGGCAGCGACGAGGCCGGGCGGCTGCGACGGGGCCGGGCGGCTGCGACGGGGCCGGGCGGCTGCGACGGGGCCGGGCGGCAGCGACAAGGCCGGGCGGCAGCTACGAGGCCGGGCGGCAGCGACAGGGCCGGGCGGCAGCTACGAGGCCGGGCGGCAGCGACAGGGCCGGGCGGCAGCGACGGGGCCGGGCAGGACACAGCAGGGCCGGGCGGGGGCGACGGGGCCGGGCGGGCGCGACGGGGCCGGGCAGGTGCGACAGGGGCCGGGCAGCTGCGACAGGGGCAGGGCGGGCGCCACGGGGCCGAGAGGCCGCGACAGGGCCGAGCTGGGGCGACGGGGCCCAGGAGGGTGGATACGGGGCCTAGGGAGGAGCGCGGCAGGGCCCAGGAGGGGCGCAACAGGCCCAGGAGGGGCGCTACGGGCCCAGGAGGGGCGCAATAGGGGCCCAGGAGGGGCGCAATGGGGGCCCAGGAGGGGCGCTACGGGCCCAGGAGGGGCACTACGGGCCTAGGAGGGGCGCGACGGGGCCTGGGAGGGGCACGACGGGGCCCAGGAGGGGCGCTACAGGGCCCAGGGAGGGCGCGACGGGTCCCAGTAGGGGCGCTACGGAGCCCAGGAGGGGCGCGACGGGGCCTGGGAGAAGCGTTACGAAGCCCAGGAGGGGCGCTACGAAGCCCAGGAGGGGCGCGACGAGGCCCAGGAGGGGCGCAACGGGGCGCTACGGGGCCTGTGAGGAGCGCGACGGGGCCCAGGAGGGGCGCTAAGGGGCGCGACGGGGCCTTGGAGGGGCGCTACGGGGCCCAGGAGGGGCGCGAAGGGGCGCGACGGGGCCCTGGAGGGGCGCTACGGGGCCCAGGAGGGGCGCTAGGGGGCGCGACGGGGCCCTGGAGGGGCGCTACAGAGCCCTGGAGGGGCGCGACGGGGGCCTGGAGGGGCGTTACGAAGCCCTGGAAGGGGGGCGCGACGGGGCCTGGAGGGGCGCTACGAGGCCCTGGAAGGGGCGCGACGGGGCTAGGGGGAGGGGTCGCGACTGGGCTCAGGAGGGGCGAGGCGAGGCTAGGAGACGCGACGGGAGGAGCGGAAGCGGTAGGTGGGGGGGGGGGGGGGGGGGGGGGAAACCTACTCGTGATACCATATCAAACCTAGAATTGAATAATGTGAGAGAGAGAGTACACAAACATATACCTAAATGTTGTACTCTCTAGAAGGTGACCCTATACAGTCTATACAAACATGATAACTACACATGTTTGACATGTTCGCGTGACTGAAACGACTGTCCTATGACGAGCGCTATTTGCTGATGTCTTCCTACGGACTTATCTTCTACAGTAGGATTCGGCACTAACTACACATAATCGACTTACAGAAATGCTAAGTACCAATTATATCACAACAAGACCTACCTACTCATGATACCATAACAGAATTGAATAAAAAGTAGAAGACATGAGCACAAGGGTATATGACCTAAGGGTTGTACCCTCTAAGACACAAACCTATACAGTCTATACAAACATAACACTAAATGTTTGACTGACACCCTCGCACTATATGTTTTTCAAGGGCCAATCGGCCCCTCACACTCGCACCCTGCACAGAATGGGAGGTGATTTTGGTGAAGGGCCAGTCAGCTCCCTCACACAGCCCCCATTACGCACTGGCCTTTGATAATGGTGAAGGACCAGTAACCGCCCTCACAAAGCCCCCCGCAAGCGTCGCGCTCTGATTTTGGCTAAGGACCAATCAGCGTTCCTCACAGGTAAATCTCGCTTCTCCAGTATTATCAGGGTCTTTCCCCCATACAAAGTTAAATCATCCTAGTACACTAGTAGAAAAAGTCTGAAAAATTAGAGTACACCCCCAAAAAAAGTTTGAATAGTCTGAATCAGAGTAAAAAATATGCAATTTGGAGGCCTGGTTAGCAGTCTAGTTTAGTTGGGTAGTGTACCCAAGGGTGTACCTAAGTCTAGCACGATCCAATAATTGTTACGCTATTTATGAAAGATTACAAATATTATTTCTTAAATCACAACGTAACAAAACTTTGGATATGCTCAGCATTTACAGCTTAGCAAGAAGGGCAGACACCTTGGACTTGGTCTCAGCGAAGAACTTCTTGGCAGCCTCCTGGTCCTTCACGCGGGCAGCATAGTCCAACTGCACAAACAAGGGAGCGCACGTTAAAGCAACGAGCATGCTGACAATCACAGCGAATGCTGGAACGGCGACGAAAAGGAATGCAATGAACCATGAGACGTACCGACTCAAGGGTCTCGACCACCGACTTCAGCTCAGCGTTAAGAGCCTTCTTCTCGGCCTTGGCCTTGGAGGCGATGACGGTGGCCAGATCGTATCTCAAGTAGCCGAGCTCAGAGCGGAGCTCGTTGCGGACATAGGGCCAGGCCTTCTTGCTGATGTAGCCCTCGACCTCCGGGAACACGCCGACGACCTCCTTGGCGCGGGCGAGAGCCTCATCGGGGGTCTTGATCTGGATGAAGAACCGCTCATTGAGGGGGGCCTCGAAGTCACGGGCCTGGTCAGAGTTCTCAGTTCCGGCTGAGGGAAAACAAATTCGAGGGGTAGAGGTGAGACTTATTAAGAAAGACGGAGAAAACAGCACTCACAACACTTTTGAAGTGAAGAGAAATGTGGAGCAAGTAGATGGTGACAACCGGAAAAGTAGACTTGCGCAGCACATGTAGATGGTGAGAACCAAGACTGAAAAACTTACGAAGGCCACCAGCCAGAGGAGGGGGACCCTCAATCTTCACGCCGGTGATGGCCTGAGCGTTGCCGGACAGGGAGACGGCAACGGTGGTGGCAATGAGAGCAAGAGCAGAGCGCCTGCTCTGCTTCTCCTCAGCCGAGGCACTGACGGCGAGGGAAGCCTTCTCAGCGCGAGCAAAGGACACGGTGTTGTTGAACACGCGAGAAGCCTTCTGGGCCGGGTTGCCGAGCTCCACGGGAGCAGCCAGGTTCATGGCAGCGACAGAGGTGGTGGCAGCCATGGCGGAAAGTTTGGTTGGTTGCTAGGTGGAATTCGGCAAACTGGGAAGTGTGCCTGTTGTGTGGAACGTCGGCAAATTGGCTTACACCTCGAGTTTGCTAGGGTCCGTAAATCCTTTGGATGATACTCCACGCTGTCAGACTGCGCAGAGCAGGAGGGGATGGGGAGAGCTGGGAAGGATTTCGGGAAGTCCACGTGGCACTCCGCTTATCCCCAAGAGATCGAGTGAGTTGTATTTGTCAAATCGCGACATCAGATTGGACGCATCCCTCGCGAAAAGCACAAACTCGGGCTCTCCGATCACCCTGCCTTGTCGCAAATCTGGAAGATCGTTGGTAACATCGGAAGATCGATAAAAACAAGAACCTTTACACGTATCAGTTGACGAACGCATAAAATGTTTTTACCGCAATGGAATTGAAATAAGAGCGTTGCCACGATTGTTTCATATTTTACAGCTATTTTTAATGTATGACACAATTATCGCAGCATCGGATGCAATGATAAACTCCTAGCTAGATATCATCCCAGGTTGGCTCTCGACGCAAGTAACATCCTGTTCTCCGGCGACACATCAACCGTTGTGTACTCCACATACTTCGCCACCAGCCCCTTGGCTTGCAACCAATCCAGCCGTCCTGCATCAATAAGCATCTTGCACGCCTTGCCAACCCGCACCTTCTGTTGAACTGACAGATTTGAAAACCAGGGAGAGGGCCTGTCTGCTGCACCTGCTGCTGCTGCCTCCTGTGGCAGACCTTCAGTCACGGCTTCCTTCGCCCCCACTTCTCCACCCCCCTTAGCTGCTGGTGCTGGCGCTTCTGCTTCTGTTAGAGCGACAGGTGCCAATGCTGATGCTCCTTCCATCTTGACTTCTGCTGCGGTGAGCGTTTCCGTATCTCCCTGTGCTACACCGTCTGCCTTCTCACCTGCTCTTTCGCCCTCCTCACCACCTCCCACCCGCTCATTATCCCCGCCCTCACGACCTGCCCCTCCCCCCGTGCCTTCCCCCAGCAGCGCCCAGCTGCTCATCCACGCCACTGCTGCGAAGTCAGCGGGGGAGAAGCCCAGGCGCACGAAGAATGCCGGGTCTGAGGGGGGAAGGAGGGGATGTGGGTAAAGGAGGGGATGAGAGGGAAGGGATGGAAGAATGGTAAGAGGTCAGTAAGGAAGGAAAGTGGAAGGAATGGGAGACGTGATGTCTCCCAACAGATGAATGGGGACTGAATGCGAAGTGAAGTGGGGACTGCATAGTGCCGTCATATATGAAAGGATGTGCAATGGCCAGCTACAATCACCCCCGTACAGTCACCCTGCCCTCCATACTGTCACCCTGCCCTCCATACAGTCATTTTCCATACAAACACACTCCGTACAGTCACCCTACCCTTCATAAAGTCACCCTCCAAACAGTCATTCTCCATACAGCCACACTCTCTCACCCTCCATACAGTCACTTACTGACATAAGACTGCCAGTCGCACAGGTGGTGGCAGCATGTGGCAATGCCCAGCCCTGCTAGGTGAGAAGTCTGCTGTTGACTGGATTGACCGGATTGACTGGGTTGAGCGGGTTGACCAGGTTGACCAGGTTGACTGGGTTGTCCGGGCTGACTGGGTTGACTGGGTTGACCGGGTTGACTGGGTTGACTCTTCTGTGAGGCGTTCAGGCAGCACCTAAGCGCCAAATCTGCATGCCATATGAGAAAGAATGCAGGGAGGGAGGGAGGGGAGGAGGGAGGGAGTGAGATTTAAATCTAGCAACAGTGGAGCATTTGAGGTGACTAAAGGAATTTCCCCCCAAGAAATTTCCCCCAAAGAAATTCCCCCCAAAGAAATTCCCCCCCATAGGAATTGCCCCCAAACGAATTCCCCCCAAACGGATTCTCTCCAAACGAATTCCCCCCTAAAGAATGCCCTTTAAAGGAATTCCCCCGAAGGAATTCCCCCCCTTCTCCCAGGAATTCCCCCCAAAGGAATTCCCCCCAAAAGAAATCCCCCCAACTGCAGGCTGCGTGAGAAGCAGAGCTGCGTGCAACCTTCCCCGCACCTCACCTCCCCGCATGCTACCTTCCCCGCACCTCATCTCCCCGCATGCTACCTTCCCCGCACCTCACCTCCCCGCATGCTACCTTCTCCGCACCTCACCTCCCTGCATGCTACCTTCCCCGCACCTCACCTCCCCACATCCCACCACCATCCCCACATTTCATCACCCACAACCCACACTCCTCCATTGAAAGCACCTCCCCTCAACCCGCGTTTCCCCAAAATCACCTCCCCCACATCCCACCTGTGGCCGGGCCGCAGAGGTGTTTGCTGGTGGCAACCACAGGGCGACTGTGCAGGCAGGGCAGTGCGGAGAGGTTCAGGTCAGCGACTGGCGGTAGTGGGAAGGGAGGAGAGAGGGGAGAGGGGAGAGGGTAGAGGGGAGAGGGGGGAGGGGGAGGGGAGAAGGGAGAGGGGAGAAGGGAGAGAGGGCTTGAAGGGTGTTTGCCAATGACGACTAAGCACAGGGCGACTGTGCAGGCAGGGCAGCGCGGAGTGGCTCAGGTCTGCAATTGAGGAGATGGGTGGGGCAGAAGCGGGTGGCGGAGAGGCGAGTGGAGAGAAGGATCAGGTCCTAGTCACCACAAACAAACCAACGACCAACCCAGCACCCAGTTTTCCGGCACAGTAGAGTTTTGAGTGGCACGGCACTCCAACCAATCAGAACGGGCAATCAGGAGTAGGAGACAACAATCGGAGTGTAAAACGAGGGTTAACCAGGTTGCGTGAGCAGGTGAACACAGTGAAGCCGATTCAAAGCTGGTGAACTTGAATCCAGATTTGTGATCTCCTCTACCCCGAAGATTCATCATGAGTCCCTTAAAGCCCGACCAGCAGGTTGCAGGTCTGTTATTCTCAAAGTGCATCACCTTGCGCACTTGTTACAGGAACGCTCTCGCCAAGCACCACACACTCACAAACTGACACAAGCTGCTGCTGAGACAAGCTTGGCAGGGCAATAGCCCGTCCAAGTTTCGGGAGGAGGAACCCCTACCCCCAGTCTGGGGCTAGTTACCTCGCATGACTGACGACTTTGTGGCGCAACCCAGATTCATTGCGTGTCTCGAGTTTCAGGTACGAAAAAATAAATCGCCGCCCTGCAAAATTTGAACAATCTTGCTGTTAATTTGACAGGGGCCCAAATGGGATTGTTTGTGTGTCGCAAGGAAAATTTATTGCAGGGGCGAAAACTTGGCGCTCTTGCCAAGTATCGAGGCTTGCGCCCTCGCGCACAAGCAGAAATGTAAGCGAGGGCCCATTTTCGTTACCAGTACACTCCAATCCCTCGGCTGTCGCCCCACCTACCTCAACCGTGCAATATGCAACTTGCCAGTCGGGCTTTAACCATTGAAACTACACTGCTACAGTGCTGCCAGTAGTGCTGTGGCATGCTGCAGCATGTCACTCGCAATAGTTATTTCTCAGGTGATTCTTGAGAACTCTAAAAATGCTGTCGCATGCCGTTCGCAACAGTTATTGCTTACTGTCGACTCGCACTCGCAGAAGGTTCACTCCAGGAAGTTTCCTCAGAGCACGATCGGCCTGAGAAGGGAGGAGAGGGGGGCCGAGGGAGGGGGGGGAAGGAGAAGGGAAGTTACGGACCGTAGAGCGGGAGGGTGGTGCTACAGGAGGGGATGGACCGGAGAGAGCAAGAGGGGAAGATGAGGGGAAGGAGGTGAAGGGAAAGGGAGGTACGAGCACAAAAGGGTGGTGAGAAGAAGGTTGTGATAGGCTTTTTAGAACTATCGAAGAAAACGGTGGAAGAGGAGGAGCTGGGACTGCTGGAAAGAGGTGAGTGAAAACAGAGAGAGGATCAAAACAGTCACGCACCCGTGAACCACCCACTCCCACTCACCTTGAACTGCTATCCGTGCATTATGCATCTGCTATCCGTGCATGATGCATCTGCTATCCGTGCATGATGCATCTGCTATCCGTGCATGATGCATCTGCCCGCGACTTTGCAGTCCTCCCACGAGTCCCACTCCCACACATGCATTGACATTGGAGTCATTTTTTAGAATTCTAAAAAATGACATACTGTACCAATCAATTACAAACCCCCCCCTCCCTCCCCTGCCCTCTCCCCCATCCAACCAATCTCCCCGGCTCCCCACACAAAACCTCCCCCCCCTTCCCTCTCCTCCCTTCCCTGCCTCCACCGCCCCCCACCTTGAACTTGTACGCGCGCCTCTCCACCAGCACCACGTGGCGGGCATGGAAGCAGGAGCAGAGCATGTGAGTGAGGTACCCCCGCCCTGCGCCCAGCTCCACATACACCATCTCGCGCTCTCCCTGCTCCTCGCCCCCCTCGCCCCGCGGTGGCAGGGCGCGCGGCAGAGGGGTGAGCAGCCCTGCTTGCGCCAGGTTGGCGAGGATGGACGCCTGCTGCTTCACGTGCCGCTGCTCCAACGGCACACTTCTGCTGCCACAAAGGGGGGCGGGGGGGGAGGGGGGGGAGGAGAACGAGCAGAGAAGGGGAAGAGAGAAGGGAGAGAGGAAGGAAGGAGGGGAGAGAGAAGGGAGAGAGGAAGGAGGGGAGAGAGAAGGGAGAGAGAAGGGAGAGAGGAAGGAAGGAGGGGAGAGAGAAGGGAGAGAGGAAGGAAGGAGGGGAGAGAGAAGGGAGAGAGGAAGGAAGGAGGGGAGAGAGAAGGGAGAGAGGAAGGAAGGAGGGGAGAGAGAAGGGAGAGAGGAAGGAAGGAGGGGAGAGAGAAGGGAGAGAGGAAGGGAGGAGGGGAGAGAGAAGGGAGAGAGGAAGGAAGGAGGGGAGAGAGAAGGGAGAGAGGAAGGGAGGAGGGGAGAGAGAAGGGAGAGAGGAAGGAAGGAGGGGAGAGAGAAGGGAGAGAGGAAGGGAGGAGGGGAGAGAGAAGGGAGAGAGGAAGGAAGGAGGGGAGAGAGAAGGGAGAGAGGAAGGAAGGAGGGGAGAGAGAAGGGAGAGAGGAAGGAAGGAGGGGAGAGAGAAGGGAGAGAGGAAGGAAGGAGGGGAGAGAGAAGGGAGAGAGGAAGGGAGGAGGGGAGAGAGAAGGGAGAGAGGAAGGAAGGAGGGGAGAGAGAAGGGAGAGAGGAAGGAAGGAGGGGAGAGAGAAGGGAGAGAGGAAGGAAGGAGGGGAGAGAGAAGGGAGAGAGGAAGGAAGGAGGGGAGAGAGAAGGGAGAGAGGAAGGAAGGAGGGGAGAGAGAAGGGAGAGAGGAAGGAAGGAGGGGAGAGAATGAATGCTTGATTGTGCATGTGGCATGGCTCGCACGGCATGCTGCTGGTGCCATGGGAGGGGGAGAGGGAAGAGCGAGGAAAGCCCATGTCTCACCCGCCCATGTCTCACCCACCCACCCATGTCTCACCCGCCCATGTCTCACCCACCCGCCCATGTCTCACCCGCCCATGTCTCACCCACCCATGTCTCACCCGCCCATGTCTCACCCACCCATGTCTCACCCGCCCATGTCTCACCCGCCCATGTCTCTAGCGGCCTGCTCCCATCCATCGCACACGGGGGGCCACAACACTGAATGCTGCAGGGGGAAGAGTGGTGGTGGTGCTGCTGCTGCTGCTGCTGGTGCTGCTGCTGGTGCTGCTGCTGGTGCTGCTGCTGGTGCTGCTGCTGGTGCTGCTGGGGGTGCTGGCGAGTGTTGAGTGGAGTCAGGCGTCAGAGTGAGCAGCGGAGCAGGAGTCTCGGCTCCGGGCTCAGCAGCAGAAGGAGAAACCAACGCAGGCTCAGACACGATGGGCGCCAACACAGGCTGGGATACGGGCAGTGATCTGGGATGTGACACGTGCTGTGTGGCGGGGCGCAGGGGAGGGAGAGGAACGCCGCTGTCGCCCCCGAAGCAGGCTGTGTGCGCCTGGTGCAGCAGGTGCAGCACGCGCTGCCACTCGCCCTCCTGCAGCGCCGCCACTGCCTGCCTCCTGGCTGCTGCTGCCGCTGGCTTCCCAGAGAGGTCCGCAGTGGCGGACGCAGTAGAACCCTTGCTGTCAGCAGCACCAGCAGCAGCGTTAGTGGCAGCATGAGAGGGAATCGAAATGCCAGCAGCACCCGCTGCGTGTGCTTCGTTTGCACTCCCACCGTCCCCCTCTCTTGCATTGAGCCCCTCCTTGAAGTACGCTGCTTGCTGCGACAACTCCCTCTGCACGGCTGCAGGACACTTGGCGATGTGCGATTGGACCTCAGATGCCAACACCGTGCTGCAAAGTCGCGGGTGGAGAGCGAGGACAAGGAGTGAAGATGAAACAGAGTGGGATGCACGGTACAGAAGAGAGAGGCGGCCATCTATACAGGGCTCATTGGAAAGGGAGAGGGGAAGGGAGGACAGACAGGGGATGCTGCTGACAGTGCGGAGTGCAAGACCGACGGTGCTAGTGCAAGACCGACGGTGCTAGTGCAAGACCGAAGGTGCTAGTGCAAGACCGACGGTGCTAGTGCAAGACCGACGGTGCTAGTGCAAGACCGAAGGTGCTAGTGCAAGACCGAAGGTGCTAGTGCAAGACCGAAGGTGCTAGTGCAAGACCGAAGGTGCTAGTGCAAGACCGAAGGTGCTAGTGCAAGACCGACGGTGCTAGTGCAAGACCGAAGGTGCTAGTGCAAGACCGACGGTGCTAGTGCATGACCGACGGTGCTAGTGCAAGACCGAAGGTGCTAGTGCAAGACCGAAGGTGCTAGTGCAAGACCGACAGTGCTAGTGCAAGACCGACGGTGCTAGTGCAAGATCGAAGGTGCTAGTGCAAGACCGAAGGTGCTAGTGCAAGACCGACGGTGCTAGTGCAAGACCGACGGTGCTAGTGCAAGACCGACGGTGCTAGTGCAAGACCGAAGGTGCTAGTGCAAGACCGAAGGTGCTAGTGCAAGACCCACGGTGCTAGTGCAAGACCGAAGGTGCTAGTGCAAGACCGACGCACGGGGGAGCAGCGATGCAACTGGCTGGGTACAGAAGAAAGGGAGGAGGCAGCCTCTGGCTCAGAAAGGGAGGCGCCATTCGGACGAAACGAGGTTGGCAGGGTGTAGAGGGCCTTGGCTGGATGTGTGAATAATGATGAGTTGACGGAGAGGAGAATGGTGGCCCAAGAAAGGGCGTGCTTGGGGATTGCAGTAAGAAAAAGAGGGGCTGCGTTGCTTGTAAAAGTGAAGCAAAAGGAAAGAGCAAAGGAAAGGGAGCCTCGCAGTGTGTTTCTTCGTGCCTAGCGAGCCCCAGCACATGAAGGGGTGGCGAGCCCCAGCACATGAAGGGGTGGCGAGCCCCAGCACATGAAGGGGTGGCGAGCCCCAGCACATGAAGGGGTGGCGAGCCCCAGCACATGAAGGGGTGGCGAGCCCCAGCACATGAAGGGGTGGCGAGCCCCAGCACATGAAGGGGTGGCGAGCCCCAGCACATGAAGGGGTGGCGAGCCCCAGCACATGAAGGGGTGGCGAGCCCCAGCACATGAAGGGGTGGCGAGCCCCAGCACATGAAGGGGTGGCGAGCCCCAGCACATGAAGGGGTGGCGAGCCCCAGCACATGAAGGGGTGGCGAGCCCCAGCACATGAAGGGGTGGCGAGCCCCAGCACATGAAGGGGTGGCGAGCCCCAGCACATGAAGGGGTGGCGAGCCCCAGCACATGAAGGGGTGGCGAGCCCCAGCACATGAAGGGGTGGCGAGCCCCAGCACATGAAGGGGTGGCGAGCCCCAGCACATGAAGGGGTGGCGAGCCCCAGCACATGAAGGGGTGGCGAGCCCCAGCACATGAAGGGGTGGCGAGCCCCAGCACATGAAGGGGTGGCGAGCCCCAGCACATGAAGGGGTGGCGAGCCCCAGCACATGAAGGGGTGGCGAGCCCCAGCACATGAAGGGGTGGCGAGCCCCAGCACATGAAGGGGTGGCGAGCCCCAGCACATGAAGGGGTGGCGAGCCCCAGCACATGAAGGGGTGGCGAGCCCCAGCACATGAAGGGGTGGCGAGCCCCAGCACATGAAGGGGTGGCGAGCCCCAGCACATGAAGGGGTAGCGGGCGGAGGGAAGGCGCCAAGAAGGTGGGAAGGGAGCAGAGGACCGAAAGGCGAGTCCGGTGGGCGAGTCCAGTAGGAGAGTCCGGTGGGCGAGTCCGGGCAAGGGCAGCGGAGGGGGTGGGGAAGCACGGATGAAGAGAAAGTGGGACTGGGGGGGGGGAACAGAGGGAGTGAGGGGAGGAGTGGGCGATGAGGAGAGAGAGAAAGGGGAAGGGGAAAGTAAGGGGCAGGCGAGGAGCATACTGGGAGGGGTCGATGGGGCACGGCACACGCAGAGCTGCAGTCTCTGGGATGTGGTTACCACAGAACCTGTAACACGCGGAGAGGAGCAACGGGCAGGGCAGAGACTTGAGGGGCAATGAAAAGTATGGTCGCTCACACGGGGGGAGAGGAGACGAGGGGTCGGCATTAAATCAGGAGATGGGGGGGGGGGGGGGCGGGGTAGGCAGGAGGAGAATACATAGAGCGCACGTCTGCCGAATCATAAGAGCTCCACGCATCTAGCAGTAGAGCCGTTGGGCGTCAGGGTACGGGCTGAGGCAAGGTCGGAGCTATTTGATTTGCAGCTGTAGTCTCTACGGTATTTTGGCGGTTGAATATAGGATTTGCGCAGGAGAGGAAGCAAAACGCTACAAAGGGAGCATATTCGCCCTGCGGAAGTGCAGCACGCGTCTCGACGTACACGTGCCCGGGCTTCCTCCGGTTAGAGCCCTCGGAAACCCTTACCTCACCCCTTCACCCCCTCACCCCTTCTCCCCCTCACCCCCTTCGCCCTCCGCAACCCCTTCTCCCCTGCCCCCCCTGCACACGGGCAAAGACAGCAGGCGTCCGGACATACAAGTGGCCGGGCTTCCGCCGGTTGGAGCAGAGCCGCCGCTTCTTCGCCACCCAGAACTGGCAGCTCCCCTCCCCGCCACCCCCCTCTCACCCTCCCTCTTTCCCTCCCTCCGCCCCTCCCTGCCGCGCTCCCCATCCACCCCTCCACTCCCCCCCGCCGCGCCAATACCGCCATTTTCCGCCGCACTCCCCTTGCCCGTACTCCCCCCTTTCTGCTTCTTCCGCGCTCTGCTCCCCCCTGCTTCATCCGTCAAAACCCTGTCCCCTGCTGGGTCTGGAAGCACCTGTCCGTTGCCAGGAGCCAGCCGTCCTACGCGAGCCGCAGGGTGAGGTGAGGACGCACCCTCGCTCGACTTGCCTGTGGTCGCCACCATGTGCTTGGTTGGTTCTTCCTCGGAGGCCTGCTCCGCTAGATGTTTCCCGTCGGTTTTCCCTTCCGTCAACTCTGTTCCGTCAGCGGTTCCGGCCATTCCTTTAGTTGCCCCTCCTGCTAGAGCGACGCGCGGATGTGGTATTCCGTGCAGTCGCAGGTCGCGGCTTCCGAGGTTACTGGTTACCCTAGACGACGAGCGAATTCCGCGAACACCGTGAGGGCAAAGGCAGCGTCCCAGGTATGGGACGCGCAGTCGAAATGATTGCGGTGCTACAGGTGTAGCTGGTAACCCGAATGCGACTATTTCTGGAGACCTTGCTGTGAGGTGGAGGGTTAGTAGCTTGTCCCCCATCACTCTTATCGATCAGGCCCACGAGGGAGTTGCAGTGCGGAGAAAACAAATGTTTGTTCTTGCAGTACCTAACGGATCATACTTTCTTTACTCAAATGTTGCGTCGTTTTTATTCCCACATTGGAATGGTTTCAATAACGAGGATAGCTGAACCAACCAACCCCACAAGTATGAAGACGAAACGGCGCAAGCCCTACAAGGCAAAACCAGAAAACCAGATCTGTCTCCTCGAGTCTCCGAGCTCCTTCATCGCGACAGCCATGGTTCTTTCGAGCATCAGATCGGACGGTTTTCCGAAATCTTGCATTTCAGCCCTGGACTCGTCACGCCTCCATTGTCGCTTGTTGCGTGAGTCCGCGTCGCACTTCGGTGCGATTCCCAGAAAGTCGTTCCTTTCTCCCCGCGCCAAGCTTGTTCGATCGGATCCGCGTCGCAGACATGGAAGGGGAGCGAAGCGAAGCAGGCAAGCAGCCAAAAAACGAATGCGTCGTTCCGTCTCCTGGTAGTTGCGGCAACTACCATGGCACGGCGAAAACTCGCGACATGGAACATCGAATTCGACAGTTGTTGCGCTCGTCAACTACCAGTCTAGGAGAGAACAGGCGCGAGCATGCTGCCATGTACACCCGCCTCCTCGACAAACGAGGTAGGCAGCCTTGCAGCAGCAGCACCTGTCGATACTCCTCCGCACCGGTGGTGCTAGGTAGCAGTAGCGCCACCGTCGATTCCGCTCCGCCAGGCGCCGCGTGTCGACGTCGCGCGTCCATGGCTCTTTGCGTGCTCTCCGTCCACTCAAGGCTCCCCGCCACCGCGACGACTGGTGGTCGGCCAATCGACTCGTCGACCCGCCACCACCGGTATCGCTGGAAGCCAAGGCAGGCAACGCAAGGGCAGGGAATGGAAGGCAGGGCAAAGGCAAGCAGGTGCTCAGAGCGCCTCGAAGCCGCGGCTCGTCTCTCACGCCCAGCAGCTTTCAGCCATGCACAGCGGGCCCCCCGGGCACCACGACTATATAAGCCACGCCCGACATGCCCATTGCATTATCGGTCTCCGCGCCTCACCATCCCTTCCCCCCCCCGGCTCCACGCCCTCGCTCCCCTCCCAGCAATCTCGATCCGTCTGTCACCTCGCCACCAGCAGTAGAGACTTCCTCCACCGCTCTCTCGCTAATCGACTCGATCTCCACCGCCGCCGCTACCGGCGCTACCGCCACCGCCACCATGGCAGCCATGGCTCCCGCCGCTCGCGGCCGCCCCTCCGCGCGCCTCCCGCTGCTCTCCCTCGTGGCGGCGTCCCTCGCCGTGGCGCTGCTGCTCTCCTTCGCGCCCGCGGCGTCGGCGCGCGGGTGGGGGTCGCTGGACGCCAAGTACACGTGCAACCCGGCGTCCAACTACGGCATGTGGTTCAAGTACGGCTGCAACTGCCAGAACATCTCCATTCCCGAAAACGGCTACCGCCGCCTCTGGGCCACCTGCCCCGGCGTCAACCCCACGGCGTACGGGCGGCGCGCGTTCGGGAATGTGTGGCTGGAGTCGGTGGGGTACCAGTCGTGGGTGTCGGCGCTGATGAACTGCGCGCGGCGGCCCTTCTACGGCAACTCGTTCAACGGCCAGTGCCTCATCCCGGGCATCTACACCAAGCCCTACTGGGTCGGTGGCGGCCCCACCCCGCCTAACCGGGCCAACGGGCAGCCCTGGAACTGGAACCCCGAGCCCCCCTACCTGTAAAGCGGCCCGCTGCCTGTGAAGGAGGGGAGTGTGCGAGAGGAGAGGGCATGCTGTGCTTGGCAGGTGTTTCAGCAGGAGAAGTACATGTGGAGGATGTGCTGGTATATGAGTGGGATGCGAAGACCTGGGCAGAGACACGGGTGTGGAGGACATGGGGAAGAGAGTGCTAAGGAGGGTAGAGGGAGCAAAGGAGCAACCTTGCTAGTGCCTTGGCTCTCTCTGCCTCTTGCTGTGCTGCCTGTCCCTCTGATCCTCTGGTGTCTGGTTGGTAATAAAAGGAATTGCTGTTCTGTGATAATTAATATGAAAGTTGCCCTGTATAAGTTTGTTCTGTTCAGATTGAAGCACGTTGTCAAGCATCTGGCTGAATGGCACATACAGTAAGGGCGTAATCCTATGAAGCAGGATCCCACCGGTATGGTGCACTGAAAAGCAATGCCCACAACAGATGCCATACCGGGCAAGCAACATGCATCCCTAACTCGTACACGTGTGATACTACCTAAACACGTTGGGCCTTCCGACTGGAAGATTACCATTCCTGCCCTGGACGAACAATTCCCGACACATTCCTCCTCTCGATAGGAAGTGCAAAAAGCAACGGCAGCATGAGTCTAGAGTGTAGACTCTAGACACGCCAATTGTGCCATTCCATCCCATCCCATGCTGATGTCACTGACTCGGGCCCACACGGTACGTGGCTTCTCAGATTGGGATTCCAGGAACCGCCACCACGGGTGCCGGTCCGTAGGTACAACGACGGTGGCTCACACGTACAGCGCGTACAGCAGTACAACACCGTTCAGCATGTGGAGCATTGAGCACAACACTGGAAGGGACTGCCCACAATCACACTGCGCAACACGCTTGAGCGTCAACCACAAGACCCAGCCCTGTTCGCCACCACCGTTCCACCATCACAGCCAGCCGTAGAGCAGCGCTAGGCGAGAGAGGGCCTGGGAAAGCAGAGCCTCGGACCATGAGAGGGAGGAGCCCCCGCCTGCCGCCTGCTGCACCTCGTGCTGTTGGGGGGGGAGGAGGGGCATGGAGACGCGTGGGGCACAGAAATGGGGAGGAAGGAGATGAGGGCTGGGCCTCGGACTACGAGAGGGAGGTCCCCCGTGGTGCGTGCTGCACGTGGTGCTGTTCTTAGTTGCTACAAACGCTCTGGGAGACAAGCGTTTGGCGTTCAAACGCTAGCGTTTGAACGCAAACGCCAAACGCACCCAAAAACGCAAACGCTCTCTGGGATTTTTTTCGGGCTGCCCCCCCAAAAAAAACACAAGATTGTCGTTGGAGAATAGGATTAAGGATAGGTGATTTACATGACATATGAGGATGCTGGCTTAAATGTTAAGCACGGTTCTTTTTTATGAGACAAAATGCTTGCTGGTAGAACCCCCATGTTTCCCCCCTCCCCCACAGGAATCTTGAACCCCTGCCCGGGTAAAATTTTTACCCCTGCCCGGGCAAGCGTTTGCCTAGAGTTCACATACACGCTGCCGAGCGTTTAGCGTTCAAACGCTAGCGTTCAAACGCCAAACGCGTTTGTAGCAACTAAGGTGCTGTTGAGTAGGGCGGGGGAAAGAGCAGCGGACGAAGCAAATGAGGGCTTGCCAGGGCAACGCATTTGACGAGGCGAGGCGCCCCCACTGCCTCCTGCTGTACCTGGTGCTGTTGGGGGGGCGAGGAGGGGCATGGTGATGGCAAAGAGTAAGGAAGGAAGAAAACGAGACAAATGAGGGCTTCCCCTCGGACCGGAAGAGGGAAGAGCCCCCGTGTGCAGCCTGCTGCACCTGGTACTGTTGAGAGGGCGACGAGGGGCACAGGAAAGGGCGGGGCATTGAGCAGGAAGGGAGTGAGATACGAGAGGGCTTGCTTCACTACATCTCTATGCCTCCCGCTGCCTCTCTCTGCCTCTCTGGATATCTGCCTCTCTGGATATCTGCCTCTGACTCTAAAATTAGCATAAATTCTTGCCATCATGCTGGCATTGAGTCGCTGCCTCTCTGCCTCCTAACGCTCTAAGTGCCCCAAGAATTGCTCCCGAATGTACCTCCACCCTCCTTACCTTGAGGTCCCCCATCCCTGCCTTGAGTCGCTGCCTCTCCGCCTCTCCCAGCAGCAGCAGAGGTTGCTCCAGAGGGCTCCACAGCACCGCTACACACACCACTGCTGCTCTCGCCTGCACACATGCACCCTGCTCTCCCTCTCCCTCCTGCTGCTGCTGCTGCCTCTGACAAGTTGGTTGTTGATGTTGTGGGTCCTGCTCCTGCTCCTGCAGCTGCTCCTGCTCCTGCTGCTGCTGCTGCTGCTGCTGCTGCTGCTCCTCCCCCTCCTCCTCCTCCTCCTCCTGCCAGTTCTCCTGCTGCTGCAGTTGTGGCGGTAGGAGGAGGTGGAGGAAGGGGGCGAGCAGGAAGGGATGCAGGGAGAAGAGGCGGAGGGCGGGGAGCAGCCAGGGGCAGCTGTGGAGGAGAGAAGCCTTGGAGATGGGGGGCGAGGGGGAGGAGGAGGAGAGTGCAGGGGACGCGGTAGAGGGGCAGACAGTGGCCAAATGCTCCTGGTAAGAGTAGTGGGGGCGTGGGGAGAGGAAATAGGAGCAAGAGATAAGAGGTAAGGGAAAAGAGGAAAGGGGAAAGAGGAAAGGGGAAAGAGATAAGGACATACGAGGTTCAGGTAACGAGATAAGGGAACGAGGTAAGGGAACGAGGTAAGGGAAAAGGGGTAAAGGAGATGAGTCCAATTAGGTGGCAGCAGAAGCAGCTGGATCACACGGGAGCAAAACCAGGTAAACCGTGGCCCCGCCTGTGTACCGCAAGCAATCACGTGACAGCCCAGATATCTGTATTGCTTGCACCGTGTGGCAGCAGAATCATTCAACTCACCTGAATCAGGCGGCAGCAAATTTTCTATGACTCACCTGAATCAGGCGGCAGCAAATTTTCTATGACTCACCTGAATCAGGCGGCAGCAAATTTTCTATGACTCACCTGAATCAGGTGGCAGCAGAAGCGTGCAAGGCTAGCTGGTAGCAGGGATGCCAGGCAGGGAGGCAGACACGTTGCGACCTGATATGACAGTGACGCTTGTGACTGTAATGGAGGAGATACTGATGGCAGTGATGGCAATGGCGAAGACCGCATTCTGTCTTCATGCTCCCAAATTGTCGCTGCTGCTGCTGCTGCTGCCGAGCCTGAAGCTGACGGTGCTTCAGCAACCTCTGCAGCAGCAGCAGCCCCTCCTTCCTCCCTCCCTGCCCCCCCTCGTTCCGCCCCTCCCCTCTCATCCGCCATGCCTCTCAGCGGAGCGTGGAACGGGCTGAGCCGGGCGCGTCTAGAGCACGCAGCCACGACGCGCAAGATGCCATACAGCGAGGGGGGCGAGGTGCCTGCGTCGCTCTGCGGAGGAAACAACGGCGAACAGGGGAGGCCACAAAGGGCGAACAGAGGGGGCCCAAGGAGGGTGGGACTTGAGAAGATGGCGTGCAGGGATGGGTGCGAGCGAGGTGCAGGGGTCCTGGGGAATGGAGGGGGAGAACGGGGGGCATTCAAGAGTGGATGGAGGGGGAGACACAACGGAATGGTTTGTTGACGTATTGAAAGGGAGCGAGGTAGGAGGGTCACTTGGTTGGGAGATTAGTGCGCTCAGAGGTGCAGAGGTGCGATCCATGGGCGGAGAGGCATGAGAGATGACCGCTCAGCCGTGAAAGCGGTCGGGGAGAGGAGAGGGATGGAGGAGAGGGATGGAGGAAAGGGAGAGACACAGAGGTGCAGATGCTGATGGAAACTCAAAGTAAGGAGGTGGGGACGAGAGAAGGAAGGAGGGCACAAGGAGCTGAAGGGGAAGAGAGGAGGGAAGGAAAGCGAAAGGGAGAAAGGCCGCACACGGCCAGGCACAGAAAAGAACTGTAAGGTCAATGAAGGGAGGGCAGTGAAGTGAGGGGGTGGTGAAGGGAGGGGGTGGTGAAGAGAGGGGGTGGTGAAGAGAGGGGGTGGTGAAGAGAGGGGGTGGTGAAGAGAGGGGGTGGTGAAGAGAGGGGGTGGTGAAGAGAGGGGGTGGTGAAGAGGCACGGGAAGGAAGGACGGAAGGGAAGGGTGCACGGCACGCACAAGGGCAGCTGCCAGTGGTTGCGACACGAGGTCCAAGACTGCTGCGCCATCCATCAACGACCCTGCTTCTCCCACCACGCCCCCCCCCCCATCCCCCACTCCTTGCGCCACTGGCAGGTGCACCAGCGCAGCGCACACCGCCCCCACTGCCGGCTCCCTCTCCCATATCTCCCGCGAGCAGCACGCCGAAGCTTCCAGGAACCGCCTCGACCGTGCTCCTGATGACGTGCCCCGGGAAGGATCCGACAGCCGGGAAGCCGTAGATTCCAACAGACCCTTGCCCCCCTGCTGGCTCTGCTGCTGCGGCTGCTGCTGGCAATTCTCATGGTGATGGTGGCGGTGCTGTCTCTCTGCCTCCTCGTGTCTCCTAACCCGCCCCTGAAACGCCGCTGTGATCTCATCGTGGCTGTGCGCGCGCGTCCTCCCCAGCAGCACCGCCATGAGGAACCCCACTCCCTCCACCACGCCCACCCTGCCCCCCCGCAACGCCTGCCATACCACCTCCACTGCCCGCCCAGCCAACCACCGCATGCCACGTGGCATCGCTGCCCCCTGGTCCTGAAGGTCCCCTTTCTGCCCCGTGTGCTGTGAATCGCACGCCTCCTCCTGCTGCTGCTGCTGGTGAAGGGAGTGCGGCTGTGGCGAGTGTGAGTGCAGGGAGTGTGAGGCGATGCAGCAGACCGCCAGAGCCTGCAGCAGCGGCAGAGAGAGGTGTGGGAAGAGCAGCAGCAGGTCCAGCGCCAGGGCCTGCAGCGGCGCGGGCAGCAGCACAAACGGACCCAGCACCAGCTTGTGCCGCGCTGCTGCCTCTGCTTCCGCCGCCGCAGCCGCGGCTGCTGCTGCTGCTGCATTAGCCCCCGAGGATGAGGCAGTGCGAGGAGGCATGGCGGCGGGGCGCGGAGCGATGGAGGCAGCGAGGAAGGGGATGAGCAGCGGCTGCAGACCGCTGATGTGCGCCGCCAGGGAGGGGGAGGGGGACGCGGGGAAGGGGGAGGAGGAGGAGGGGGAAGGGGGGGGGAAGGAGGGGGCGGAGATGGAGGCCATGCGGAAGAAGAGGCGCAGCACAGTCTGCTTGGGGGGAAGGGCGCAGGGGGAAGGAGGAGGGAGGGGAGGGGGGTGGGGGGGAAATTGGTTCTGTTTGTGGCCGGATGTAAGTGACCAGCAGATGGCTCAGCAATGCTACAGTGGCGTTGGTTGCCATGGCGTGACAGTAAAACACCACCTACCAGTGACGTGGCACCTACCAGTGACGTGGCACCTACCAGTGACGTGGCAGGATGAGATGCCCCAATCTCCCACAGCAGCCTGGGCAGGGCTGTCAGCCAATCAGATACCACCTTCTCGGGCAATCCCCTTCCTCTCCCCTTTCCCCCTGCTGCCTCCCCTCCTCGACCGTCCTCCCCCCCCACCGCCTGTTGTTGCAGCAGTGCAAACATCACTTCGAGACATGCAGCACGGGTGGTGCTGCGGGCGGGAGACGTGCAGAAGAGGCGAGAGAAGCCGCCCAGCAGAGACTCGCGGCGGACGGCCGAGGGGGCGAGGGAGAGGAGTGTGGGGAGGAGGGGGAGGAGGCGGCGGATGAGGGACTCGCTGACGTGGCGCGAGAGGATTGGAGCGGAGGTTGGAGCAGGAAGGAGCTGCAAGGCGAGGCGAGAGGAGGTGCGAGGAAGGGGGCGGGAGAAGTGCGAGGAGGGGAAGGGGAAGAGAACGTTGGGAGGATGGGGAAAACAGTGGAGAATTCACAGGAGGGGGGGAGAGAGGAAGAAAGGGAGGGTGAAACTAGGACAGGTGAACTGCAGCAGACACCTTCTCACCCTCCCCTGTCATGGCGCGTCAACAGTTAAAGCCTACACCCCTGCACTGCCGGCCGGCCACCTGAGTGCACACCAGCAACTAACACGCTCACTCAAGCCTCGCAAGGCCCGTCCTCACGACTGCCGTGCAGCCTAGAAGTCACTCCGCAGCCCCTCACCTTACCATCCACCCTCACCTTACCGCCCATCGTGCCTCACCTTGCCGCCCATCACCCCTTCCATGAAATCGTACAGCCTTGCCATCCACGCCTCCTCCCTCCCCTCCCCCTCCTGCTGCTCCTCCCCCCCTTCCTCCTCCACCTCCCCCCCTCCATCACCCCCGTCTCTCCTACCCCACTCGCCCCCAGATTCGCCCTTTCTCCCCTTGCCGCCTTCTCTCCCCCCTCCCCCTCCGCCTCTTCCCCCCTCGCCTCCCCCCACGCCCATCCTTATCACGAACCTGCTCCCTTCCAGCAACCTCCTCCGCCCTGCTCCGCCCGCCCCTCCACTTGCTGCCCCCCTCTTCCCCCCATCACCATCCTCAACCGCACTCGACCCCTCCCCCCCCTCTCCCTCCACTCCCCTCCTCCTCTTCCCCACCCGACCCTCTCCACCAGCCCTCGAACTAGCAGCAGCAGCAGCAGCGGCAGGGAGAAATAAAGCGAGACACTCAGCTAAGAGTACGTTTAATAGCGCCAGCTGCTCTAGAACTTCCTTCTGCTGCGGACTGTGCTTGCTCCCACCCCCCGCCCCACCGCTGCTGGTAGCAGCAGCACTGCTGCCACTGCCACCCCTGCCCGTGCCCGTGACAAGGCCGGCAGGGGCGTGGAGAGGGAAGGACGTGGATAGCTTGTGCAACACGCGAGACAGGGATTCCGAATACTTGTGCTGCGGCTGCTGCTGCTGCTGCTGCTGCTGATGGTGCTGCTGGTTGTGTTGCTGAGGTGGCACGGCTGCCACAGCGGAATCACCCATGTGGGGAAAGATGGACACCCATGGGGTGGCCGCGAGAGGGGGGCTTGGAGCATAGGCGGGGAGCGAGGGGGGGGGCAGATACGCGGATGGGAGGGCGGGGGAAGAGTGGAGCGAAGCAGCAGTGGGGGGTTGGAGGGAGAGGAGGGAGTGGAGGGCAGTGAGTGCGGAGTGAAGGCAGGAGAGGGCGGGGAGGTGCGGGGAGGGGGCGGAGACGAGGGGAAGGCACTCGGTGACGGTGGCGAGGACGGGCGGGATGAGCGCTGCGGCGATGGACGCTGGGCCATGGCGATCAGCTGTCCCTCCTGCTGCTGCTGCTGCTTGCTGCCCTGCTTGGGTGGCTGCTTTTGTCTGTCTCGAAGCGGACAGAGCCTGCCCGGGACTGTTGGGAGCCGGTGAGAGGGAGAGGAGGTGGGGGGCGGAGGAGGATGAGGAGGAGGGAGGAGGGAGGGCGGCGCGGTATGCGTGGAGGGCTGTGATTGGCCCGTCGGATTCTTGCGACCAGACGACCTGGTAACCGGAGGTGTTACCACAGGCGGCAGAGAGAAGAGGAGCCGGCTGCAGTTTAATGCCCAGTTGCCAGCTGTACTCGACGGAAGGGGCGGAGAGGGAGGAGGAGGAGGAGGAGGTGGTGGCGGTGGTGGTGGCAGCAGAATCGGATATAGAAGAGAGTGTGGGGAGTGAGGGAGTGGAGGGGGAGGGGGGCAGAGGGAGAGCGGAACCAGGGGGTGTGAGGGAGGATGAGGCGGTGAGATACGAGGAGGTCACGGAGGATGGAGAGGGGGAGATGGATGAGGAGGAGGAGGCGGCGGAGTGAGGGAAGGCGGTGGAGAGGAAGGAGGTGAGGGTGGTGAGCGCGGTGGAGAGGGATGGGAAGGAGCGCGCGGAGGGGGAGGTGAGCGAGAGGATGTCCACGAAGTGCGACACCACCTGGAGGAGAGGAGGGAGCAGGGAGGAGAGAGGAGAGAGGAGAGAGGAGAGAGGAGAGAGGAGAGAGGAGAGAGGAGAGAGGAAAGAGGAGAGAAAAGGGGAGGAGGGGTGGAGGTAGGATTTGCAGGAGACAGAGGAGAGCTGCCAGGTTCCGCTCATACGATTCAAGGCTCCATGTTCTGGACGGAGGGGTTCACTTCAAGCCTTGAGTTGCGGGGTCCATATGGCACCATCACATGGGCTGGGAGGGGGCGCGGCGCTGATGTCATGAGGGGAGGGGAGGGGCGAGGGAGGGAGTGGAGGGGAGGAGCGCAGTGAGGGTGGGCGAGCGTTGGAGCCGTGGGGCACGGGGAAGTGATTTTAGAAAATTCTCGTGGGAAGTGCGGCAATGAGCGTGAGTTGAGTTACCTGGGCGGTGGAGGAGGCGCGGAAGAGCGAGGGGTAGTGCAGCAGCAGCAGCGAGAGGAAGGGCAGCGCGGACTGGCGGATGTCCGCCGCCACGTGCGTCATGGCGCACCCCACGTGCCCCATCAGCAGCGGGAAGAAGGGCGCCATGCGCGACTGGGAGAGGGGGAGCGGAAGGGAAGCATGCATGAGAATAAGGGGAAGCAAAAGCAGCGGCATGGCGCACCCCCCTCCTCCCTTCCCCCCCTTCCCTCGCACCCCCCCTCTGCACCTGGGGGGCTGCATGGTGTAGAGCGCGGCGTATCCTGATTCGACTCAAATGCACCCTTCCCCATCCCCCCACCCGCTCCCACCCCCCTATCCACCTGCTCCTCCCCACCCTTCGCGCCCCCCCTCCCTTTCCCCCCCACCTCGGGCTGCATGGTGGGGAAGAGCACGGCACGCATCAGCAGCTGGAGGGCGTCCCTCGTCTTCTTGTCCACGTCAGCAATGCGCGGCGCCAGCTTGGCGAGGATGGTACCAGCGTGGCGCCTGAGCTCCTCGGGATTGGCTGCGAGCAGCTCTCGCAGCCGAACCAGTGACTCTGATTGGCGGGCGGGGAACAGGGGCATTGAGAAGGATTTCACTCACGGAGTGAGTGAGTGAGAGCCGAAAAGAGAGCTTGGAGAAGGCGTGTGGGATCCTTGAAACATGCGCTTCCACCTGCCATCCATGCACCGCCATGCCATACCCGCCATGCCATGCCTGTCCCGCAGTGCCGAGCCTACCTTGCCGAACCTTGTCGCTGTAGTGGCCGGACTGGTTGAGCAGCTCCGGCAGCGTCTGCCCTCTCAGCGACAGCGCCGCCTGCGACCGATCGTCCAGCAGCTTCTGCCCCGGCAGCAGGATGGCTTGGGGGAAGGGGGAGGGAGGGGGGGACAAGTGGGCGCGAAGAGAGCACAATAAAGGTGGGGAGAGGTGGGGGGCGGGTGGGAGGGTGGGCGGGTGGATGATGAGGAGACGGCCGCATTGGGATTAGCTGCCGGCAACCGATCGTCCAGCAGCTTCCGCCCAGGCAGCAGGATGGCTGGGAGATTAGGGCCGAGGGGGTTGGGGGGGGAGAGAGGTGGGAGGGAGGAAGCGAAGAGTATGGCGTGGGGGAGGTTGGGGGGTGGGTGAGGGCCTGGCAAGGGGAAGGTGCTTGAGAACCCATCTGCTTGCGACCGACCCTCCATGAACCTCTGCCCGGGTAGCGGGGTGGGTGAGGGGGAAAGACGAGGGCGACGGAGCGGGGGAAGGAGGGGCAGGGAAGGAGAGGGGGGGAGGAGAGAGTGGGGGAGGGGGGATAGAGATAGTGCCTGGGGAAGATAGGCGCGGCGACGGACCCTCCAGGAGGATTTGCTAGAAGGCGGGGATGGCTGGGGGGAAGAGCGCGGAGAGCGCGGAAGAGCGCGGAGAGCGCGGAAGAGCGCGGAAGAGTGGTCGTAGGACGGGTGGAAGTGACGACGGGAGGGAGAGGGGTCTCAACGCTTTGAGAAGGGAGAGGGGCTTCAACACTCTGAGACGTCTCAAAGGAGGATGGCTGGAGGGGGGTAAGGGTGGCGGAGCGCGCGACAGAACAATAGTGAGTGGTGGCGTGGGAGGGAGGTAGAGGGGTCTTACTCTTGGCCTTGACAGTTGTCTTGGTCTCATTGGCCGGCGCAGGGAGCTTCCGCCCCACCTTGCTCTTCACTTTCTGCGCTCGGCAAGAAGGATATGGGGGGGTGGGGGTTTGGGGAGACACGGGAATGTAGAGAGCAGCGGAAGGGAGTGGACAGGGAGAGGAGGGGGAGAGGAGGAGGAAGAGGGAGCAATGGAGGGGGAGGAAGGCGAGGATGAGGGAGAGGGAGCAATGGATGGGGAGGAAGGTGGGGAGGAGGGAGAGGGAGCAATGGAGGGGGAGGAAGGTGGGGAGGAGGGAGAGGGAGAAAGTCGGAAGCGAGAACGAGCACGACGGAAATAGCCGTGAGCGGAAATCTAGTTTTGAGGCGCCTCAAAACACGACGGAAATAGCCGTGAGCGGAAAGGCGAACAGGGCGACAGCGAACCCGCGCGTCCGACAGTGCAAGCGACGACACACGCGCCTGCTGCGCGCACGTTAAGCCAGCCAGCGTGGATGGAGATTCGAAGGGCAATCGGATGCGTGTGGGCTCTAAGGAGGTCATAGCGAGTCCGAGGTGTGCGTGGAAGAGGCGATGCAGGCTGAGGCGGTTTTGAGGCGCAAGGCTGCATCTCGAAACGAGTGCGGCCGAGATGCAGACTGCACAGCGTGCGACCCAAAAGCTGGAGTGAGAGTGCGGGGAGACTGCGGGGAGACTGCGGGGAGACTGCGGGGAGACTGCGGGGAGACTGCGGGGAGACTGCGGGGAGACGGCGGGGAGACTGCGGGGAGAATGCGGGGAGACTGCGGGGAGACTGCGAGGAAACTGCGGGGAGAATGCGGGGAGAATGCGGGGAGACTGCGGGGAGAATGCGGGGAGACTGCGGGGAGAATGCGGGGAGACTGCGGGGAGAATGCGGCGAGAATGCGGCGAGAATGCGGCGAGACTGCGGGGAGACTGCGGGGAGACTGCGAGGAAACTGCGGGGAGAATGCGGGGAGACTGCGGGGAGAATGCGGCGAGAATGCGGCGAGAATGCGGCGAGAATGCGGCGAGACTGCAGCGAGACTGCGGCGAGACTGCAGGGAGAATGAGCGCGAGCGGGGGAATGCAGCCTCTGTGCGACGCGACACCGACCGGGGGGCCGAGGCAACCCAGGTTTGTTGGATCCTGGTTCTCGAGGAGGCCATGCGCGATGCAAGGCAAATCACCAAGTAATGCTAGCGATCGTAAGGAGCTATCCTAAGGGCGTGTATCATGTGCAAGGAAAACGACGCCACCCGACGTCCCAACGGGGTACAGTACGTTTTCGCGCGATTGAGAAGTTGGCTGTGCGTTCGGAAGCGGTGACTCGGCGTCAAACCGTGAAGTCGTGCTGCTCGAGCTACTTGATACACCCCCTAACTGACGACCCTAGCGCGCGAGCCGAACGAGAGATCTTAGCGGCCCTAATGAGCGATTCTAACTAGCGATCCTAGCGAGCGATTCTAGCGAGTGACCCTAGTGAGCGACCCTAGCCATTCTAGCGAGCGATGCTAACGCGCTTCCCTTCCATACCTTGAAATCCACCCCTTTGTGCTTCAACCGCACCGTCTTCTGATTGCCCATCGCCGCCGCGCCGCAATGAACGGCTCAAATCGCTGCACGACCGCGCAAGCTAAAAGCAGCAGCAGAGAATCGAGAATGACGAGACACAAAGCGGCCTGCTATGCCCTTAGCACTAGCCCTACACAGAGGCACCCTGCAAGGAGTGGTGGCGTGCACAGATGGCTTGCGGCGGCGGGAGTGTTTGCGGTTGGGAGTGATTAGAAGGTATGGTGGGGTAAGGGCAGAACGCATGACCCAGTGAAGTGTGGAGGATGCTAAACCTCTCAAGAAACCCGAACCCCGTATACTGTACCCTGCATTCTGCTGGCAGTGGCATCAGCAGTGACGGGAAAAGGACAGGCGAAGGAGACCGCTTCGCACCAGATGCGTACATCGCTCGTCTCATCTTGTCATGTCTCAAGAGTACACATGCAGTTCGCTTGATGCGGTTCTGTTAGGGCCTGATTTACTTCTTGAACGGTCGAGTACGATATGAAAAGAAAAATGTACTCTTGTGACACGCCCTAAAAGAACGGAAATTACACATGAAGTATCTGATCCATAACTTGTGTCAAGTGAATTACAGAACATCGGGTTTTGACGTCAATGAGCGGAGCAAAACATTATTATAACTTGACATCACTGGGGCCGCGGTTGCCTTCCTTCCTTCTTCTAACAGTAACTAGTTCGGCGTAATCGCCTTCATCAGACCACAAGAAAGAAATGAGACTTAGATGTTTATATATACCTCGGGAGAATCTCGCTCACCCATTGGGCTCGCGATAAACCAAGTCTCGCAAAATGAAATAGCTACACTACGCTACTATTAGTGTATCTATATGGTAGATAATATATATATATATGTGTGTGTATCCTAGCTAGGTCAGCACTTAGAGGGTACAACCCCATGTACTTGTATCTCCCTCCCACTTTCTAGTCCATTTTTCTCTCACTATTCTAATATGGTATCAGAGCTAGGTTTGGTCCCACTTACCCACGCTTCCGCCCCTAGCTATGCGGCTCCTCGCCGCCCCTAGCCGCTCCGACCGTCCCTTGCCACTCCTAGTCACCTGTAGCCGCCCCTGGCCGTATCGTTGCTAAGCCGAGCGCCCGTGCCAACTGTCAGCTGCATCGCGCCAACCCGTGCCAGCCCACACCAGCCGGCGCCAACCGCGCCAGCCAGCGCCTGCCTTCGCTAACCGCGCCCAGCCAATGCCAGCCAGTGCCAGCCACGCTTCTCGTTGCTAGCTCGTGCCAGCCGCGCCGCCTGCACCAGCCAGCGCCAGCTTCGCCAGCCCACGCCAGTCGCGCCAACCAGAGCCAGCCGCGCTTCTCGTCGCCAGTTCGTGCAAGCCGCGCAAGGCCGCGCCAGCCCGCGCCAGCTAGCGCCAGCCAGCGCCAACCCGTGCTAGCCAGTGCCAGCAGTCCTAGCCAGCGCCAACTTGTGCCAGGCAACGCCAGCCATGCTTCTCAGCGGCAGCCGCGCCAGCCAGCGTAGCCGCGCTAGCCTGCTCCAGCCATACCAACTCGCGCCCGCCGAGCCGCCTGTACCAGCCACGCCGCTCCTCGTTGCCCCAGCCAGTGCCAACCGCACCGCTCCTCGATAGGCTACATAGGTTTGTGTTCATAGAGGGTACAACTCCAACCCTATATCTCCCCTGTTCTCACTTGTTCTAGTCATTCTGTTATTCTAACATAGTATCATAGTAGGTTAGGTCCGCCTACCCGCTTCCGCCCCTTGCCCTAGCCTACCGTCCCGTCTTACCCTAGCCTTACCGCGCCCCGCCGGCCCCTAGCGCCCCGTCGGCCCCTAGTGCCCCACCGGCCCCTAGCGTGCTCGCCGACCCTTAGTGCCCCGCTAGCCCTTAGCGCCGCGTCGGCCCCTCGTGTACCCCGCCGGCCCCTAGCGCGCCTTGCCGGCCCTCAGCGCCCCGCCGGTCCCTCCCGTGCCCGCCTGCCCCTCGCGTACCCCGCCGGCCCCATCGCGTGCCCACCTGCCCTCCCCCCCCCCCCCCCCCTGCCTTGCCGGCCGCTCGCGCATCCGCCTGGCCCCTCGCGCGCCTCGACGGCCCTTCGCGCTCGCCGGCCCCTCGCATGCTCGCCGGCCCCTCGCGTACCCCGCCAGCTCCTTCGCGCCTCACCGGCCCTTGGCGGCTCGCCGGCCCTTCGCGCCCCGCCAGCCCCTTGAGCGCCCACTGGCCATAGCGCCCCACCTGGCCCCAGTGCTCCACCGGCCCTTTTTTCCCTGCCGGCTCATCGCGCCTCATCGGCCTGCCGTGCGCCTCGGGCACGGTGCGCCCTGCTCGGCCTTCCGTCCGGACTTCCCGCCAGAGAGTCCTGACGCCACGCCGCTGTGCCGCTGAACCATCGTGTCCCTATGCCGCTGTGCCGCCAAAGAGATGTGACGCTGAGGTTGCACGATGACGGACGCCGTACTTCGCCTGGACGCGGAGGGGCATGCGATCGACTTCGCCGACTGGCTTGTTGATCTTTGCCATCACCTGACAGGTCAGCGCCAGGATGGGCACTCCCTGGCTATGCATGTTGATGGCTTGCTTCTCCGCCCCACCTTGCCTGATCCCCTCCCTACTGACCCCACCAGTGCTGAGAGTGAGGCCTTTTCTGCTGCTGCGCACGCTCGCGTAGTCTGGGATTCCCGCAATGCCGTAGCGCAGCTTGCCATTAGTCATGCTCTTCCCCTGTCTGAGCGTCCGCGCTTCACTATTGTCGCGAACGCCAAGGATTTCCTAAATGCAGTAGTTGCGCGCTACTCCATACCCGCCTCCGCCTATGCTGGCCACTTGACCCTCCCCATGCTATTCCCCGATCTTTCCGCTTTCCCCACTGTCGCTAACCTCGCCACTCATCTCCGTGCACTAGAGACTAGCTACCGCACTGCTAGCACTGCCGCCCAGCTCACTACCTTCCCCCCACCGTTCTGCGCTACCCTGTACCTTATTGCCGTGCGCCTGCCTGACCGCTTGGCCATTGCCCGCAACCACTTCCTTAGCCAGCACCCTGGTGGCCTCACCCTGACCGCCTTTATCACTGCCCTGTCTGAGCTAGAGACTCGCCAGTGCACTATCGCTCAGTCGAGCGGTGTTGCGGCAGTCTCTATCTTTCAGGGCTGTGCTCCCTCCAAGTGCACGTATGCTGAAGTGTCCGCAACGGTCGCTACGGCTTCCCCGCTGACACAACAGCTGCGGCCTTCTTGCGGCAGCGACAGCGTCGGGGCTGTCGTGGCCCCAAGAGAGGGCGTAGTGGCGGCGCTGGTGGTGGTAGTGATGGTGGCAGGAACAGTGGTTCTGACGAGGGGTTGGGGCTGGTGTCTAGAAGCCGCAGCAGGCGCAGCAGCAGCAGCAGCAGCCGCTGGCCCGCCTCCCACCAAGGTGGCCAGGAGCCTCTAGAGGCGGTGGCCGCGCTGGCAGCCCTCGCAGCTCAGCATCTACCGGCAGCTTCGGTGCTGTAAGCTGCCAGTACCAGCTCCAGTACGAGCTCCTCTGTGGTACTGTGTGCCATCGCCCGCACTCGACCGCCCACTGCTTCCGCCGCATCGACGACCCCTTTCATTGCTGCTTCACCCCGGCCCCGGACCTCCCTGACTGGCCCAGCCTGCAGCGCTACGGTGTGCCTGTTTTTGACATAGACATGGATCCGATTAATTCTGTCCTGCATTCTCTGTATGCTGACGCTTCGAGTGTGTCGGGATCTTATTACCCTGAGTTCTCTAGCTTAGGGGTAGCACATGTGTGTAGTACAGACTACCCTGCTGCGTTAGGCATAGGACCGTTTGCTTTGTCCAGCCTAGGCTCCACACTCGCTCCTCCTTCGTCTGCCGCTACTGCTTCGCTGTCCTTCACCCTTGACTCTGGTGCATCTGCCTACTTCTTCCGCGACCATGCCACAATCACGCCGCTTGCCGCGCCCGCAGCAGTCGCACTTGCTGACCCCTTTTCTGGTCCTGTCATTGCCCGCAGCTACACTACCCTTCCCAGTCCAGCGGTCCCCTCGGGTTCCCTTACAGGCCTGCACATCCCTTCGTTCTCCAGGAACATAGTTGGTGTTGGCTGTCTTCAGGACCTCCGCGTCACCACTACGTTCCTTGGTCACGAGCGGTACGCTGTCTGTACCAAGGCCGCCTCAGGTTCCCCCTTGCGACGTTCCTGCGGGACCCGGTGTCTGGCCTGATTATGCTGGACTCGGCTTCCTCCCCAGTTGACGCATCCTCCCCGGGCACTGGGTCTACCCAGGTCGCTGTGGCTTGCTTGTGTCGGTCGCTCACTCACCCGTCGCTTCTGTGGCACCACTGCCTAGGTCACCCCGTAGTCCCGCGTCTGCGTCACATGTCTCAGCACGTTCTCATCGTAGGTCTCCCTGCGTCGCTTCCTGCCCTCCTTCCCTCGCCTGCGACGCCGTGCACGCCCTGCGTCGAGGGCCGGCTGCGCCATGCTCCTCCCTTCTCCTCGCTTTGCCCTGCCACCGCACCCCTCCAGACCCTGCACTTGGACGTCTGGGGCCCGGCTCCCGTCCCCGGACCGCGTCGCGAGCGCCACTTTCTCCTGCTCATCGACGAGTACACGCGCTTCACCACAGTGTTTCCCTTGGAGTGGAAGGCCGACGTGACTGGCGTTCTTATCCCGTGGATCGTAGTTGTGTGCCTCCATCGCGGTCTACAAGTGCTGTGTCTCCACTCCGACCGTGGCGGCGAGTTCGCCTCTTGTAGGCTTGGATATTTCTGTCGTGCGAAGGGCATCACCTTGTCGTACACCCTACCGGACTCCCTGTAGCAGAATGGGGTCGCTGAGCGACGCATCGGTTTGGTCATGGAGGTCGCTCATACCTCCATGATTCATGCTGGTGCACCCCATTTTCTGTGGCCATTCACCGTTCGCTACGCTGCTCACCAGCTTAGCCTGTGGCCGCGCTCCCAGCGGCCGCAGGTTTCGCCGACCCTTCTTTGGACCGAGTTCCCTGGTAACGCGTCCGCGTTCTACGTCTGGGGCTGCCTCGCTCACGTTTGTGCCTCTGGCACGGACAAGCTCACTGCCCGCACTATCCCCTGTGTCTTCCTCGATTTCCCCCCTGACTTGTCTAACAGGCACTTTTATCACCCGCCGTCCCACCACTTCTTTCACTCCCGTAACGCCACCTTCGATGAGTTTGTCTCCTTTTACCACCGCTAACCCCACTGAGGTCTCCTGG